GAAATAAGAAAGCCTATAAGAAATACCAGCAAACATAAAGGAAAGACTGAAGGAAAGAAGCAATAATAATAAACCTGAAAATTTTAAGGAAAAACCAAACCCAAACCAAGAAAGCAGGTGAACTAGGGGCCCGATAAAAGGAAAAAGAAAAGTGGTGAGACTAAAACTCAAAGAAGTGAATGCAGGGTGTCATCTAGTTGAGGGTTCAAGAACCCAGCAATATTTTTTTTTTGAGGGGGTTTTTGAGACAGGGTTTCTCTGTGTAGTTTTGGTGCCTGCCCTGGATCTCGCTCTGTAGACCAGGCTGGCCTCGAACTCACAGAGATCTGTCTGCCTCTGCCTCCCAAGTGCTGGGATTAAAGGGTGTGCATCTGGCCGAACCCAGCAATCTTTACAGGTGCAACTAAGAGGACTGTAGAACAGGAAGCTGCCCACAACCCCTTGTGAAAAAAAGAAAAAAAAGAGGGGGGAAGAGTAAAGATAGTCTAAGCAGCCTAAAAGGACTCCCATTATGAAATCAGACTTCCTAAGAGGTGCTACACACATGACATTAAATCACCAGCTATTAAATGTCTCTGTTGTAACTCTAATTCCTTTCTTCAAACAGGATCTGAAATCTTAGTGTTGCAATTCTGACAAACAAATGTAAACTTACCACGTAGACTTCAGGTTATATTGTCTCCCTAAATTGATACTTAAGGATGATGACTGTATTTAAAGCTAGGGTCTTTAAATAAAAATTAGGGCCTCACAGTAGGTCTTAATCAAGTTTGAGCAATGCTCTAATGGTGGCACATGTCTTGAATCCCAGCACTGGGAGGCAGAGGCAAGCAGATCTCCGAGTTCATGGGCAGCCTGATCCCAGCACTGGGAGGCAGAGGCAAGCAGATCTCCGAGTTCATGGGCAGCCTGATCTACAGAGCAAGTTCCAGGACAGCCAGGGTTACAGTGAGAAACCCTGTCGTGTGTGTGTGTGTGTGTGTGTGTGTGTGTGTGTGTGTGTGTGTGTATTTGGCACAGCATACAAAAAATATCACCACCTACAAGATAAAGAGAGGTCTCAGGGGACACCAATCCTCGGGCTCAGATTTTCGGCATCCAGAATTGTGAGGGAGTACTTTTCTGTTGCTTAAGTCATGTAGTCTGTGGTGTTTTGCTATTGCACTCCCAGCAAATTAAAATTCCATTCTATGTAAAATACTGACATAAAATAAGAATAGCTAAGTATCTAGTAAGACAAAATGGTACCAGATAATAAACTTCTTTCTAGAAATAGACTAAACTCTGAGCTGAAAAAGCAGTTAGTGTTCCACCCCTTTGCTTAAGGGAAGTTGATCAGGTTAGTGGTGATAATATCCCACTTACTATCTGTCTTCCCCTAACAGACTCTGAGGTCATACAGGGCAGAGTATCAGTCACTCATCTTGCTTTCATTGACATAAAAGTTCACATTTAACACATAATAGAATCTATACATAATGTTGTTTTTACCATTTCTACATAAACAAACAAACAAAAAAAGATTCTACTGAGAAAAGAGACTTTTTTCCTTCCTGCATTTAAAAGCAGACAATTCAGGCACCTGGGCAAAGATGTGAACTGATTCAGGTTTCCCCAAACTGTTCACTTATCCCTACTCAGGACAAGGCACCATGGGATGAGGCAGTCAAATATGACCATTTTATGCCGCCATCCTGGAAATGGATTTTTACTTCATGCATTACCAAAATGTTCTCCTAAAACCTCCTTTGGATCCATTATGCCATCTGTGTACATTCTGGAGCAGTTACAACAATAATGCCAATGTCCCACAGAAATAAGACTTTTCAAAATGTTAGGTACTTACAGTGAGTATGCAGTAAACACTTCACCAAAGTGAGTAACAATCCTTTAACATTTTAAAGGGAAGGGGAAAATACCAAATGGGGTTAATTCACGTTATGGACTAATGGCCTATAAACTTTCATTTGAAAGTGAAGTACAAGAAAAAAAAGCTTTGACAGAGCTACTTTTCACTGTAAAAATAAATAAACCTCTTTCAAATAATTTGTACGTGTTTCTTCCAAGTCAAACTGCTAAGTTTCAAACAAAAATTAAAACCACCACCCCATTACAACCTTTAAAATATAGGCTTTATAATGGAAATGGTAAAACAATCTTAGTGAAGGAAATGTTGATAGAATTGCAAGTAAAACAAGGTCTACACATCAACACTTCACACACCAGTCATGGGATACTTGTTGACAGACAATGCTTGGATTGCATTCTCAGTGATATAACTGTATGTAACAACTGTCATTTTTCACAGGACTTCTGATGGTAACATCTCCTGGTGTTCTGGCCTTGGTCCAAATTACATAAATATATTTGCCCTCTGGTTCCTACAAGTTTAAAATTAATTATTACACCAGGATTCCATGAACAGCAAATTAAAAGAGAACTTAATTTCAACTCACAAAGTGAGAAATAAATATCATATATGTTATATTACTTTAAATTTAGGAATTTCTCATTATTGTTCTTCCTGCATGAAAATATTATTTCCCATTTTCTTCATATGGATTACAACTTGTATTCAATTCTCTTTTATTTGGAACCAAACAATTCACCTGCCTTTTTAGGGTGATTTGGATAGGGGCTTTCTTTTCTTCTGAGACAGGGTCTCTCTAGTATGTAACCCTGGCTGCCCTGGAACTTGCTATGTAGATGAGGCTGGATTTGAATACATAGAGATCTGCCTGCCTCTGCCTCCTGGGTGTTGGGATTAAAGGCCTGCATCAAGCTAATTTTTTTCCTCTGTATGAGTATTTTGCCTGCATGCACATGCACATGTGCACACAAACAGACACATACATGTATTGTATATGTAGCCCAGAAAAGGACGTTGGATTCCCTGAAACTACAGTTATAGATGGTGTAAGGTGGATGCTATGTAAGGGAACTTTCTAAAAGACATAGCTTCTAAACTGGGCATGGTAGCTCAAGTCTATAATCCCAGCACTCAGGAGGGTAAGGCAGGAGGAGGACTGCTCTAAATTCCAGGGCAGTCTGGGATACAAAAGCATGTTCTAGGCCAGTATGCCAGCATGAGCTACAGAGTGAGACCCTGTCTTAAAATCTTAAAAACTTTACACACACACACACACACACACACACACACACACACACACACACACACACGGCCTATAGTGTCATTTTCCTTTATTGCTGAGCAAGAAGCTTCCAAGTGGCTACTCTATTCCCTCCTGTTTCTGGGACAAGCAATGTGTACTCTTGATGTTGTCTAAGATGCTAGCAACGCCAGTGACTTTCTACAGTATTCTTCTTCTTGTCTCCAATAATGATTGCACTTTCTCAAAGTGCTGATCACGAATGATCAATTCAGCTTCTCATAAAAGAATTTAAAAACTGTATTCAATAGAATTTTGTGTCCTTCGAGTCCAGAAGCATCAAATGAAAACACATCGGGTGGCTAGATGAACAAAGAGGTTATGAGGAAGCAGGTGCTTATATGCTGACACAACCAGAAAGATGTAACAAACTCGAGAAAAACAGATGCCTTCAGAGAATCAGAATTCAATTTTCCCAATTCATAAGCACCCTAAAGGGAACGTCTTTGGGGACAAAAGGAAAACATACATTAATGATAACACAAGTAGACACAGGCTAGGTGCTAGCCATTAATGGCTGTTATCACGCCTATTTATTAGTGGGCAAAAGGAACATTTGTCTACATAAGCTCTACTAACTCATAGAAAACATGCTATGGAGACAGCCAAAGTGTGTGTTGAACATTCAAAGGAAAAACACTAATATTCAATCAAGATCTTCGTTTAGTTGTAAAAATGTTTTCTTTCAGCCAGGCGGTGGTGGTGGTGCACGCCTTTAATCCCAGCACTCGGGAGGCAGAGCCAGGCAGGTCTCTGTGAGTTCAAGGCCAGCCTAGTCTACAGAGCGAGATCCAGGACAGGCACCAAAACTACACAAAGAAACCCTGTCTCAAAAAAAAAAAATATTTTCTTTCCAAGGACAGAGTAAGGAAGTCAAAGAAAAAAAATAATTTCTAAAGTAACTTGTAGATAGAAAAAGTAAAGTCACTTATGACTAGACTTGAAAACATTGAGACCAAATCAAGGGCAGCACGAGAATTCTTATGTGAAAAAAATCAAGCAATATTTATAGGTTTTTATATGCTGTTGAGGTTGCCTCCAGTCCTAATACCGACCAACAAAGCCCTGAATTGATATTCGCTGACAAACAACATAAACACTCTGTAGGTAACTAATAAGAAAAATGTGTAAATTTGCCTTTTTTATTTTTTACAGGTAATAGAAAAGTTGTCAATGTGATTTTCAGGTAGGAGAAAAAAACATGCACTTGTCATGACATTTTCAAATACTTTAAGTTATGTAACAAAGCTTTCCCCAGACCCATTAAGTCCCACAGTGCCTGCAAGTCTTGTATAAGGAAATGCCAGGTGCAGAGGGCTCCAGGCAGCATCTGATCATATGAGTTGAGGCACCTATACATTCTCTTAGGATGGAGTCAATAAAAGAACTCCACCCCACTCCTCTCTTTCAAAATGAACCTAGGCTTTTAGTGAACAGCGGAGACACACTCCAGGTCTATTTTTTTGCGGTAATATCTAGTTTTTGTAGGCCCAATGATCACGTTGCCTATGCTTACTTTATTACAATTACTAAACTCTATAGAAAATAGCATTTTCAAAATATAGCATTTAAAGAGTCCTTTTTGTACTGTTCCTCCCCCAAAAGCTTGCTTTAATAGAGAACAATGTGAGACAGGCTGTGGGGGCCAAAGCTGGGGATTCCTATGCCACCGCCCCTCATGCAGGGGATCCCTGTGTTCACACAGGCCCCTACAGCCTGCTTCTGAGACAGCAATGTGATGCTGTGTGAACAGCCTGACACAGTAGGTCTGGCTTTTATGATGCAAATTCCCACTTTAAACTCAAAGGTAATTACAGTATTTTAACGTAC